TTGTACCCTGGGTGGTGGGCTTTCACACTAAATCTACGTACCGGTAATTTGTCAAGCAAAATGTATGGACAGATTGGTGTAGAACAACACACGCTGATGTAGAAAACACACGCATACACGCAAACACAAGAAATCCTTCTGTTGCAGCATTAAATTATTTATCGTTAAAGCACAGCACAAAGTGAGTTCAGTTATTTTTGTATAATGTATTGTCAACTTTGTGAATGTTGATGGCTGTCAGTAAATTTCTAATGAAAAAAACTGCACTTGCCGCATCCATTTGGATTTGCATTCTGCTCAGATTGGCGGTCGCGTTTGTTTGTCCAACATGAACAAATACATAAAAGGATTGGATTGAATAAAAAAATTAATTATTGGACATCATGAAATGCTGCATAAACGTAGCTTTTGAGTGTGGATGTAAAGTCTATTTTTTTTTTTCTGATTGACAGTCACACGAAATTCTCTCTTTGAGCAAATCAGCCACCCCCCAAGACACGTTGGTCGACTGACATTGTAGATAAAAGAACCATTAAAGCAATTACTATGACAAGACTGATGAGTTTATATTGGCACACGAAATAGAGCTTGTATTTCTTTCCTGAGGGCAACCCTAAGGGTGTTGGCACAGGAAGTCTGACAATGGATGTAAAACAATAATATGCAACAAGCTTCCTGTACAGCAATGCAGGGTATGCCTGATTAGAAGGTAGAGTATGGATCTGCCGGATAATTGGATTTCCTAAAATAAATCATTAGATGTCACGGTAAAGGCTAAGGCAAGCGTAAATAATGTGCCTCAATGTTATGATCCAAGAAAGCCAGCCAGCGATACTTTCGACAGATCACCATAAAAGAGCTTTCTCCAAATATAAGTGGATATGAGCCATGAAACCGCACGTGTCCAAACGTGTACCTTGACTTTCCATCAATCCATTTTGTCTGCTGCTTATCCATGGGCAATGGAGTGCGGCTAATGTCTGTGTAACAACAATTTGGAAGTATAAACTGAGCCCGAAAGACTAAAAAAAAAAGATTTTTGATTACAATTTCAAAGTAGAAGTTGGGAATAACACACTATGACTGTTTCGTATAAACATTGAAAAACAAGGCATGTGAAACCAGAACAAGTCTTGAGAAAAGTGGAAATGTACTGCAGAGCTACCATTTCCTGCAAAGTTGCATGACTTACAATTTTACATAACTGGTTCGGGAGATTCTTAGAGAGGTGAGAAATTTCTGAGCGCTTCTGAGGTGCTATTAAGCAAGGCTTTAGACTTTACAATTGACAAGATCGATTGTTGTGCGGCGACCTCATTCTGACATCCCTCCATCATCAGGTGTTTATCATTCTAATGTGCAAGACATTTTTTTAAATAAATAAATGTTCATTTTTCAAACCGCAGGCTAACAAATTGATTTATCACCAAAATATAGTTTCCTTCATAAAATCTTTGCATCAGTGACATTCACGTGTCAAACGCACATACTTCTAATTTCAGAAAGTAGACAAGTTCTGTCCTTAAGCACCAGTCAGATGATGAAAATATATGGAAATAATAAGAATAAAAAGTCATCTTGTGCGTTGACATTCATCATGAACTTGACTGGGCCTCAAGTGGCTGCTGGCGAACCTGAACAGCAGACAAGCCCCGACAGGGACAAGCAGCATGTGTGGTGTTGAACGCCTCCCTCGTGGCCTACATGCGCTACGGGCTATTCAGGTGTGTTGTGTCACGTGCCATAAAGGCTGCTCAAATTCAGAATTAACTTTTTCGGACATTGGTTGACATGCTGACTGTGATTACGTGTCTCTCTCTCTCTCTCTCTCTCTCTCTCTCTCTCTCTCTCTCTCTCTCTCTACCTCTA